GGGTTTAGGGTTTAGGGCCTAGATAATTACCAATACTATTTTGGGGGGTTCCTTACTATCATTATACCATAATGGGCCCAAAACCCTGTTCTAAGTATCTAGAGCCCTAATTTCCCAAAATACTGTGTTTTCCGCTCTAGGGGGCCTGGTTTTTTTTCACGATAATATCATCAACGGTTCGAGAGTAGGATCCCTTAATTCGGTCTTAGTTTGAGACTCCAGTACTTTGAATTGAAGGTGAACACGGCACTCGTCCTTCTTCAGACAGCTAGTGCTGTACGCTAACCATGAGGCGCCGGAACCCCGACAGCCGGTCACCCTGGCTACAGGGTACAGCCCTTGAAACCGTAGTTTATAGGATCCACAGGTGCCCTAAACACCGAACCCTAAAACTGTAGATCCAAAACCTTAATCCCAGTTTAAGACTAGAGACGCGCCCTTCCTGCCTTTACTCCGAAGACTCTCGGTACACTTGAGCCACCCCAAAGCCTCGAAGCCCAAAACACTACACGCTATCGAACGAAGTATCTCTAGGTTTGAGGAGTTGTGGGATTTGGTTCGGGGATTTAGGGCCTGGGAGTTCGGGTGAGGATTAGGGTTTGGGGCCAAATGGTTTAGGAATTTCGGGTTGAATCAGGGCTTGTAGCCCACAATAGTGGTTTTTTTACAGGCTACAGATTTCGACTTCTTTGCAAGTTTCTGAACCCGCGTTTTCGTCGGCTGTCTTGCTTGTGTGCTGCAGGTTGCCTGCCAGTTGATCTCACAGGTCCATTGTGGGTACTACCGTTACTACTCTTACTGTCACAATGCCAGGGCTACCTCTACGTGCTGGGGGGCCATGACGGCTTCAACGCTCTTTGTTCGGCCCCCGGCTGCTGAGAAGGGTCGGCCACTTTTCGTCGTTTCCAATTCGGATAGTTACCTTCTTTTGGAGCAGGAGGAGCAGCTCTTCAACCGGTGAATTGCGCTGTGTAAACCCTGCAGCCCCAGCTTCATCACAGTGCAGAGTTGAGAGCCGTTTAGCCGGTGACTTGCGGAGCGTGGATCGGTGGTCCAGGGTTCTTTCGGACATCGAGGTTCCGTCGAACAGTTCCACCCCAGGACACAGAAGTGGCAGGACCTCAGAGCATGGCTCGGCGTAGCTTTGCGTTGGCTTCGCATTCTCGAGAGAGTGCGCTGCTTGTACTCTTGATTCCGAGCGATGGTCAAGGTTTTGACCATGAGTCTGACAACGGCAGCGAAGGTGTTGTGTGTTGCTCATCTTGCAGTTGGTAGGACGATGGCTTTCTTGTTACTACAACCGTTGCGTTCGCTGTTCAGGAGGTGACGCCGATGCAGAAGCCGAGGTACGTTCGCCACCCAGAGACCTCGTCTGGAGTGAACTTACGACCCCAGCTTCGGGTCTCTGCTTCTTCGGGCAAGATTGGGAACATCCGCAAGAGCAGAACGATCGGTAAGGAAAGCGCGAAGAAAAGCCATGATGCACATACTACCAGCAACAATCCTTTTGTCCTTGACTATGGTCACAGTATGCTTGGCGTAGGACTGGCATCAGTAGGATTTGTGTTCACCCTGGGTACATGATGACCATATCTTGATAAGTTGACCAGCGCCTCCTGATGTTCACATGCGCCTTAGCTGCATGACTCCAGTCTAAGCGTTCTCGACCATGCGATAATATTCCTACACCCTAAACCCTAAACCCTAAACCCTAAACCCTAAACGCTAATATTCCTAAACCCCTTGGGTCCTACGACTTCACCAACTCTATAAGCTGTAGCGGCTACAGCGCCTCTCGAACCCGAAGCCGTAAACAACACTCCACGAGAGCTTCCGGAGGCCTAGACTCCCTTAAATCCTGAAGCCCGAAACCACCCAAGAACGAATCCCGCAAACCCCCGAGGCCATACCCCAAAGCCGCCGGCTTCTTCAATCCTAATATAGGGGTCGGAATTCCCGAGTCGGAATCTGAAAGCATAAAGGAAAACCTTGACAGGCGCCCTCTAATCTTTACTGTAGAAGACACTGGCCAAGGCCTGTTCCGCCACCTGCGCAGAAGGGCGCATCATCGTCTTCGGCGGAGAGCTCACAGAAGCGGCTTCCCAAGATCTTCTTCTGCTCAGTATTACGAGTACAGAACTATTGTTGTTGCTACAATTTTTCCAACCTTTTTCCTCTTATCATTTCACTGTTTCTGTTTGGCGCTGCTGTTTTTATTGCTAGTACTACGGATATTATGGCTATGAAATTATTAATGTGGTTGTGACGATGACGAGAATATATTTGTTTTATTGCTTGTATCGTTATGTTCGTATTGTTACGGTTATTGTGATTGTTTTTGCTATTAAGCGTTGGTGTGTTTGTTTCACTTCCGCTTGCTGTGGGTGTGATAGTTGCTGATTGTGCCGATTATTTCCGAAAAAAGCCCATACAGCCTAAGTCACGGACCGTGGACCTTCAGACCACTGTATATTTGTTCATCCCAGGCCGAAGCCCCGACGACGCTGTCCTTTTTCTCCTCCGTCGCGTAGACTTACGAACCTGCACAATTGCGACGAAGCTCCGTGTCAACGAAGCATGAACGCATGTTTGACCCAGCAGCTATACCGCTGCATAGGTCATCGTTGAAACGAAGCATGACATCGTTCATCAGTTTTTTTCGCTCGCGATCTCGGCCTCTTAGGCGGGTGCTGCCGCTACCTTCGAGGTCTACGACTCCAAGGCCACGGGAAAAAAGCGGTGCTTCGACGGTAGAAGCTTCTTTTACATTAACACAACTGTTTCTCGAAATAAGACTTCTTCAAAACGTGAGGGTAGCTTGTTCGATTTCCAGAGACCATATGTGGGTTTCGAACAGCCTGCTAGACTTCAAATCATTCAAAGTCACAAGCGTAGTCCCACGAGGGGGCAGGGCGGCAGTAGAAAAGGCCAAATCACTCTGCGTTCCTTCCAGGACAGATGATGCCTTAATGGACCTCATAATCTATCTATGAACCGAGGAACAGAGCGTCAGAACCCCGATGTTACAAAATCCGTGCAGCCAAATCCTTAACTGCACACCGGAGCCTAAATGAAGAAGGTGGGCATGTGGCAGCTGTATCCCTCGGTGCGGTCCCCTCTTTGCGGTGCAGTGTCGATCATCGGCGTCGGAAGCCCAGGGTTTCAGACTTGGGGGTTCAAAGCTGTCGGGATGTTGCGTTCGGCGTTTGGGAAGGTGATACCATGACACAAAGTTGAGTCAGGGTTTAGATCCGAGTGCAGTGTTTTCTGATGTACAGAGTCTGCAGGTTTGCAAGGATTGAGGGCTTAGGGTTTGCATGGCACGTGTAGCATGCATGTCTCTTGCATCTCGTTTCGCTCTTCTGTCGAAATGCTCAACATCTTACACTACGGATGTCCGGCTTTTGCAACAGTTGATTGCTGCCAAAGATCATCCTGCAGGACATACAGATATGGAGGTTCCCGAAAATAGGGGACCCTAATATAGTAGCCCAAATAGTAGGATCCTGATTATAAGGACCCCAACATAAGGTACCCCTTATTTTCGGAAACTCCCATATAAGTCATCCGCACAGCTAGAACCTGCTTTCGCTCGTTCCCCAAACCTTTTGAATCCTTGCTTGAAGGACCCGAGGCCCCTTCAACCAGGTCTGCTGTGGTTTCTGTAGCGCTCACTCTGCACGCATCACTCTGCAAAGTCTTCGCAACACCAAGACGCTTCAGTTTAAGTCCTGGGAACGAACCTTGCGGATAGGTGTATAGGGTCTAGCGTTTATAGACCCTAGATGGCAGGAGCCCCAATGGCAAGTCCTTCAAAATACGGCGCCCCTTCCTTTGCCGAAATCCCACTGTAGCAGCCTTATCTTATCAACCATGATAGAAATCAAAACTGAAAACCGTGGAGCAGATGCCTAAACCCTAAGCCCCAACCAGCAAAAAGAAGCCGCCAACAGCTCCCCCCGAATGGCAAGGAAGCCGGAGAAGTCTACAACTTTGGAGGCGCCCCAATGTGCGACTCCTTGGGCTCCGGAAAAGGGATCTACACATGATCTAAGGGGATCCGTGCAGCTTCTCTGCATTCTGTAGGCACCCGATTATGTAATGGGAGAGGGTTGCAGCTCAGAGCTCGTTAGTCCCGGGAGTCGAGGGTTCAGGCTTCCAGAATGTGGCTTGGGGTTGAGGTTTTCCAGGACCGGAGTTGCCAGAGGTGGGGAAATGTGTAGGTTGCAGGGGGTGGAGATGGGATGAAGGCATTGCGTTTCCAGGTGGGGAGTGCACAAGTTTAGGAGTTACCTCCTGGAAGCTGGGCCTACTTTTGAGGCTGCAGGGCATTTTGGGGCTTTAGCGTCCTGCTAATAATTATACGGGCTTTGAAGTTACAATGCGGCTTTTGGGGTACATTGCAGTATGCCTGTGGTGTAGCGAACCTAGGAATATCTTGCAGACGATTCAGGCTTGCCTGTTATTTCAGCATGACTGTTTTGCGTGACTGTTGGGAGTACCGTGAACCTTACTCTACCGACTTGAATGAATAGGGTGACGATGCCTGCTAGCTTCTTGACTTGTCTCACTACAACGGAAAATCCTTGTTGCTAGCACTATCCAAGCCCCACGCTCACTGTTTTGTCTACTGAGTCTACTGCTGTTGCTGCGCACCTTGTTATCCCTGTTCATGTATTCATTAGTCCCCGAGTTGTTGCTGTGTCTGGTACCGCTCTGAATCGCATGGGTCTTGAAGCTGTTTCTGGTGTTGCTGCTCTTTTGGCCTTTCGTTGGTTGTCTGATGTTGCTGTTGTCTTTGCCTGTTGTTGATGCTGGCGGTGCTGCTGCTACTACTGCTGCTGCTGCTGCAATTGCTGTTGCGGCTGCTATGATTTTTTACTGCTGGTCCTGGTGCTAGTGCTTCTGAGGTTGCCCTGGCAATTGCCGCCAGCTGTCGCTTCTGCTGCTCATGTTGGTGTTGGTGTTTGTGTTCTTGCAAGTAATAAGGAAAAACTAGAGTTATGCTGTTGTTGGTGGTGGCAGTGGTGGCGGCGGCGGTAGCGGCGGCGGTGGTTTGCAGAAGCTGTCACTTGTTTGACTTGTGACTTGTTACGACTGCGCTTAGAAGCGTCCAGATTCAGAGGGTTGCGGTTGAGACCCGGCAAGCCCTGACAATGCGCCAGCCAAAAGGGCCTAATATAGGGGTAACTACCTATACTATTTTGGGAGGTCCTTATTAAAATTAGAGTATAATGTACCCCAAAACCCTATTCTAATTATTAAGGCCCCCTTTTTTTGTCAAAGCCACCCTACTCTACCATAAGTAAAAACCCCAGCCTCGCTGTCAGGCCTTGGCCTAAGTGGCCAGGCGTTGACCTTTGCGGAGCGAGCGGCGCTGAACGAGACGGTCCGCTGTGTTTGAGTCGAGTAAAGTGTTTTTCAAAGGTGGATGTCCTTCTGACATACAGCCGGAGCAATATGTGAGATGTGCCCATCATGTTCAAGTTGGTAGAAACCAAGCTTCGCCTTTTTAACCCTAAACCCTAAACCCTAAAACATCCATCTTCCAAGCCCCTGCCCGAGCCTCGAGAGCCGTGACGCCAACTCCCCAAACACAAAAGGAACCCTCTGCAGAGGCCTTGTGGCTGACAGAACCCGTTTAGATGACTTAAACCCGAGACTCGAAAGGCGAAGCTCTGAGACGAAAGAGTCAGGTTGTTGGTAGAGAATGGAGTGGGGGTTCGAACAGTTTAAAGGCTAAGGTTTTTGTGGAACTCATTGCTTCGGACTGCTTAGCTGAACCTGACGTGTACGCACCTGCTGAAGTAGTGCTTCAACCCCCGAAACCCGAAACCCCAAAGCTCAAAGTCCCAATCATGCCGAAGATTTAAACCCCCCAAAAGGCCCCAAGCCCAAAGCCCCTGGAACCCTGAACCCGAAGAGCCCGAACAGCTGCAAATTCCTGGAGACAGGCGAAGCCGCGCTTGATGCCGCAAGCTCAGCCTTTGTCATATATCCCGGCTGGAGAAGTCGAGCTTAAGGGGCTGTATGCCTTCTAAGCCCGATGGTATATACCGTGTTACAGGGGTTCCCTGGTGCGCCACACTGAACCCATCAAATTCTAACGGAAGGGGCTAAGCCAAGCAGAAGAGGCGCGAAACCTACACGAGGCTTGGCATTCGCTGGATTTTTCTTCCTTGAGCTTAACCCATTGTTCCCATGTGTTTCTGCCGACAGGCGGGCCGAAAGAGTAGGGCTGGGGTTTGCAGGAGACGGTTCGGAGATGATACATCTGGACCTCTGAGTTTAGTTCCCGTTCCCGTCTCACTGGATTAGTCATCTTAGTATCCGAGACATGAGCCCTTGAAAGCGACCGAAGCTAGCTGTTTAGGTCTGGGTGCTCGGGTTTCCGGGATGAGAGGCCACACTGTCCACAAGTAGGCGTTCAAGACGGCAGCAAAATGTTCAGGTGTCGAAGGCTTGACTCCTTGGAATCCACAAAAGAGACAGTAGAATGCCAGGATCCCAATCCTGTATTCGCAGAACCTCGAGAAACTCTATTTAAGTTCTCAGGAGATACCCCATCAAAGCCTGTGAGACAAACTTCAAGAATCCTAGGTCCCAGATGCGGCAACCTCAAGCCCTGATTCCAATCTGTAAGCCCCGAAGTCCCGTCAGGTTCGGCAAACAGACCTGGACACCGCTGCCACCCATGCCGACTGCACGGCAGCAGATGTCCGCCTGCATGTTCCAGGACCTTGAGGGGACACTCCGAGACCTGGCCCCAAATGTACACCCGAGCTTCCGGGCGCAAAACGCACATCCTCTGCGTCACATGTCATCGAAGGCTGTTAAAAGTATAGTACTGTTCGTAGCACGAGTATCGGCCCAGCCGCCATTACGACAGCCGTGTTGACAGCATCACGGCGAAAAGTATACAGGTACAGATAAGCTGATACACGGGAAAGCCAGCGCCCAGAGACCCTACCACCCTCTAGACTACATCCCAAGTTCTGAACTCTGAACCTTACGGATGGCTTGTGACGCAGGCAGGGGGTCAAAGTTAGGCTACAGCAGTAGGTTGGCAACTCGCTGCTCGTTTGTTGCCCAAAGCCCTCAAGGCTCAATACCTGCATGGAGGGGTTAGGGGTTTATGCAGTCGTTGGGTTGGGGTTCTAGGGTTTGCGGTGTGTTTAGGGGCTCATGGATTTAGGGTCAAGTTGTGGTTACTGTAAGGCTCTGAGGCTTCGGGGCCCCTCTTCTCGCCCCGAAACATCCGGGGCACTTCCGCTGCTGACATGGCGAACAGCGCCGAAGCCGCGGTGGTGGGGGCTGCGGCCATCGAAAGCTTCTTTGCCAATAATCGCCCTTGTTTTGGGGCAGCCCACTGGAAACCCTTTGCTCAATATGCCCTATAGAATCCGATCGAGAGCGCGCCGACCTGTCTTAACTCAACTGTCAGATGAAATCGCGCCAAATCCTCGCCCTGTAAAGCATGGCCCCCAAACTCGAAATCAGACGCCTGAATAATTCGTAATACTGTTCCTACAGCCTGGTATGATACCCCACTCTAAGCGTTCTGTTACACCCATGCTTATCACTCCGAAAAGAACCCCAAGCCAGCAGCCAAGGCGGTGAGGCCTCTGAGAAGGAGCGGTTTGCAGTCACGACTGCCAAAGAGGCCCTCTTAAATCCTAAAGCCTAATGCATTCGGGCTTTGGGGCTTACTTTTTTTTTGCTTAGGGCTGTCGAAGGAGGGCTGGCTTTTGAGGCGGATCGCAGACGGCCATACTTGTGCGGGGTGACAGGCAACATCGACCGGCCCTTGAGCTTTCTTCTGGTTTTGGGGCTTTAAGGTTCTGTGTCTCTTCTGGTTTCGGGTATCGGCCTTTCAGGGGCTAGGCTCTTGAGATCTACTCCCGACCATGGCAAAAGAGAAGTGTGAAGAATTCAGTCAAGTTTCCCCGGATGGTTGATCCCTACATAGGACTACTATAAGTTTGCCCAAGACTTACAATTCAAGCCGCTTTTCTGTTGCAAGGTTTGGGAGCAGCGCGGTCTCCCACCAGATTCACCGCTTCTGCCGTACATGGATGACAGCCAGTGGCTACGTGCCCGTCCTGGCTGGACTTGGTGACTTCTAGGGATAAAATGACAGGCGCTCAATAGGGGCCTTTGATCACTTCTAAAGTAGTTTAGGGTTTAGGGTTTAGGATGCTAAATAATACATTCTACTGTGATGGCAGCAAGCATGACAAAGCAAGTAGCAACACTGGCAATGACAAGTAGTGACCCTTTGGCAATTAACGACCTCGAAGAAGAGGCTCCTCTTTCCGTCCACAGTCGGAGGTCACCCCAGACAAAGAGGGACTTGTAGATAAAGCTACATCCGTATGATCCCAACTACTTGTCTTGTCTGCGATACAGAACTACAATTAACAATGGCCATATGTCGTCAACCGTGGAGGTATTCGAGAACTCCGTCAAAAGCCGCCGTGTGTCCTGTCCTAGGCGTGGAGAAGCTGTTAAGCCGCGAAGATCTGAGGTGCTACGGAGCCGATTCTGCGAGAGCTGGTCGATCAGTGGTTTCAGGACTGGGAGGTCGCGATGCAGAAATCGATCCTCGGCTGCGCGGCAAGGTCCAGCCCGTCACAAAAATGATCCCCAAAAACAAAATGGTGGGAAGAGTAGAGCGACATATCGCCGTATGGTTTCAAACTGTTGTGGAAAAATGGGCTCCGAAACTCTGTTCGAATCATTAAGGCCCCTTATCTGTGACTGCTCAGATCTCTTGCCCATAGATCATGGGAGATAGCATGTATGTTTCATATGTAGCTGCGCTGCCTGGGCTGCGAAGCAACTGAGGATTTCTGGTAACCTTTGCATGCGGTCTTTGGCGAGGCTCCTGCTGCAGTCTTTGACGGAGGATAGCAATCTCCGCGCCAGCGAAGCAAAGTCGACATTTGCCGTAACGACTAGCTAAAGAGTAGACTGTACTCGTAGTGCTATTGATATTGATAGTCACCATGACGCAGGTTCTGCGGAAATGCGCCATACTAGTGCGATGGTTCTGGCGGCCGGGGCGGAGTCAGAGGTTCAATCAAGTTCGCAAGTGCTTTTGAGAAGTCCAGCCTTTCACTCGGGTGCTTGGAACCTGCCGGACTCTTCCAAGAGTGTAGGGCATCGGGACAGCCATAGGGTTGGGCTCGCAGGACACCCGGCTTAATTAGAGCGGTTTGGGTTTTCGTTGGGAGTTTTTAGCACTCAAGACTCCGAGATCTAAGGTCAAGTCCCGCCAGATGTCTCTGAAGTCCCGCCAGATGTCTCTGGTTCCCGTGCATCTTACGCCCCGAAGCGTTTTGAAGCCCCGGGGGGGGGGGGCGCACCAGGCGGCTACGCTCCGAGCCCAAGTTTCAATCAGGCCGCCCCTCGTGAAGCTTGGCCTTTCATCTTCAGCTCACGTCAATTAAAAAAGGAAGCCGAAGTCATCAAAAAGGCCCTGGCCCTAACTAGCCCATGAAAGCCAAAAAATGAAGTCTCTCGGCTCTCCACTCCACCTGGACCGTCTCTTGAAGCTGTCCTCACGACTTGAAGTTTTCTTCCGGCAAGCCAACCCGGAGCGCTAAACGTGTTGGTCTGGTCTCAGGCATCCTTCGCTGTTGCGACACCGTGGAGTGTCTGTGCTATCACCTCGTGATTGGACCCCTGGCTCCGTTTAGGAAGGCTTTCTGGCAACTCGGAGTGAGGAGTCAGGGTGTAGGATGGGATTCAAGGGCTGGGTGGCTTTGAAAGGACCAAATGGAGATTCCGCTATGAGGGGCAGAGCGCAGGAGTCTTGCTCTACTTCATTGCCCTCTTTATCTTCATCGTCCTTGCGGTTCTCTTGGAGCTCCTCCTGCACCCCGGCAATTTCGCGGTCCAACCTAGTCGTAGGACAATCCCCTAAACCCCCAGCAAGGAAGCCCAAATTGAACCCCTGAGCCATCCTGCGAAGGCGCACGCCCCAAGACCCCGAAGCCGCAAATCTTCTGAAAACCCCGAGCCGACAAGCCCTCACCCCGAAGCCGGAAGCGGAGGTATCCGGCCCTTTTCATCTGCAAGTACCTGCCGTCGGGGCAGCGAGGTCCATGCATGAAGGAATGCGACCCAGGCCGCGGTTCTGCAAAAAGTTGCCAGGATCGTGTTCTAGCCTAATGGGCTCTGAAAGCGTAGACGGTTTATTAAACAAGCGATGAGGTCTTCATCAGAGTTCACTTGGCGTGTACGAGGGCTCACGAGATAGTTAGTGAGCGGTTTGTAGCCTGCAATATTATTGGTTTACAGATGCCAACCCCTCTCCCCCCGAATTGATGCACTTACGGCACCAATGTCAGCCAACTATTCCAAGTGTTAAGGCCCCTAAATCAAGTAAAGTCGTTTGTTGATGGACAAGACCCTTTCAAGTTTCATTCCTGCAGTACCTGAGTTAGAGGACCCTTAGCCCCAAGACCCGAAAATGCAGATGAACACACTGCAAAGCATTGTCATATTGAGCCCAGGTCAGAGTCCAGAAGATGTCAGATAGCCCTAGTCCCATGAGCCCTACACCGGAGACCAGACCTGATATCAATGAACATCTCAGCGCTGAGCCCTGAGCGCCTTAAGCCCTGAGCCCAAAAACCCTAAACCCTAAACCCAAAAGCCCGCGCCAGGCATCCTCGGGTTCGTCTTCTTTGTCGGCCTCGGATACGAGCCGCCTCTCGGCCCACCTTGTGTTCGCTTGGCGCCTCTTCTGCTTCTTCCCTCGCGCGCTCGTCTGGGGCTTAAGATCCTCCTCTAAGGGCTCTCTAAGGATTTCTACTACTGCAACGGTTGGTAGAAGGTGTTTTTTGTGTTGAGGGTTCTGAGTGTAAGGTTTAGGGCTTCAGAGTCTTCAGAGCCCTCGTCTTCAATAATAAGCCGTACCAACCTCTAAATTAGACATGGGTGATACAGGGCTCTGAAACTCTTGTTATGGCTCCTCAACCCTAAACCCTGAATCCCTAAAGGCCCTAAACCCTAAACCCTAAGCCCTGAATCCTAAACCCTTTTCAGGTCTGTGTTTCACTATGTCTCCGAGCTTCTGTACAAGCCCGAGATGGCAGAGCGGATGAACAGGAGTGCCCGGGTTCATGGTCACAGGACTCCACAGGTTTGTCGTTACATAGAGCCTAGTACAGTCCAGGGTTTCGGGGTTTGGGCTTCAAGGGTCAGGGGTTTCGAGGTTCGAGGTCCGGGGTTCGAACCTCCCCGAGCTTGTTGGTGTTTGGTTCACTTATGCTGCTGCTGCCACTGCTCTCCACACTGCCCAGGAGCTTGCACGACATGAACGTCGGCTGCTACATCGACATCGGCCGATGTTGGCAGAAGGGCGATTATGGAAGGAGCCTCGGCTGTTGCTGGAAACAGCTTGCGTCTGGGTTCTTGTTCAGGAGCTTCAAGTAATCTAACTCGTTTCCCGCAACAGGGAAAGCCATGGCAACTGAAAGCTAAGTTCGGTGCGGCGTAACTATCGATCGGCGGGCAACTGACTTAAACCATACCGATGCAATCGTTTGTGATTGCCATTGTTGTCAAGCTAAGTCTTCCGATCACAATTGCCCATAGCATTATCATTCTCAGATATTCTGCATACCGTCATCATTGTGCGTAAGTTGTTTGCGCTCGGGCTTGTACCATTGTCGCCAATGGGTAGTCAAAATCTGGCAGCTGCTGCTGTCGTCAACACCCTGGTTTCTAGTCCTGCCGTGCTCGTTTAGCCGTGTAGGGTCTTAAGCGTACACTTGATTGAGGCTGTGGACTTGTTCCTCACGCACTTCCCTTAGGGCTTGCAGGCTCGTCATTGACAGTGGGATTTCTTAACTCACTGAAAAGCTTCAGGAGTAAACCCAAACCGGAAACCGAACGAACGAGCAGCACTAAATCCTAAAACCTACTTGCCCTCTACAAGCTCCGAAATCCCAAACCCGATAGACCCAACTCCTATCAGCTCTGATTAAAATAAGTTCAAAAACCTGTCAACCCCATCCATGCCTAGCCAGGCCTCAAAGCCGAGCGCAAACCCTACAACAGCGAGAAGAGGGTCCGGACAGAAACGCAAGACACACACACACAGAGACAAACACGGAACCCCTAAACCTGTAGAGCCTGAACTCCAAATCCCGACTTGAAGCCCTAACCCAAAACCTTCAATCTCAGGGATTCTCACGATCTGTGCTGGGACTGGTACCTGCGCTGAGATGAACCAGAAAAGCTGGTCAATGCAATCCGGGGCTTAGCATTTGGGGTTTGGAGTCAGGGCTTATCCGGTGTAGGGTTCAAGCATGCTGAATGGGAAGTGGCGGATCGGAGCTTTAGACTTCAGCGTGTCTTCGCTGATGCATAATTTCGACCTGAGGGGCGCAAGGGTTGGCCAGTTTAAGGTGCCGAATCCAAGGTGTTCATTTAGAAGAGCCGAGCCCACCACCGGCGTGCGCTCTTTCAGTTGTGTAATTATGTTCATCCCGGAATCTGGATATCCGCAGCTTATCGCCACAACCCCTCCAGCATGCAGGACGGTGCTGTGGTTGTGGGTGGCAAGAGCATCACGTCCCAGGCTACGCAGCAGGAGTTTTGAGAATCCTTAATAGGGCCCAATGGGCGGCCCAAATCAAAAAACGTCATGACAAGTTCGTCTGCAAATGCTCTTACTAATTGTTGTACTTCCATGTACGTGCCGCATTTCCAAAGCAATCAATGAACGAGAGCTTATATCATGTATCCAGGCATCCAAGAAGCTGCTCCAGCGTAACCGGGTCGCGGTTTTATTCACGTGGCGGGTATCCTTCACCGCTGATATGAGATCAAGACCACAGCTGAGGAATGCAGAGGGAGAGAGAGAGAGAGAGAGAGAGAAAGCTCAGATCCTGAAACCGAAGCCCGATAAACCCGATCAGCTCCCAGCCTTCATCCTCAATCCTACGCAACCCTCGGCTCTGCTGCACCCTTCGGGCCCTGAAAGACAACTAGGCTGCTTTACGATGCAGCTTTACGGTTTAGGGCTTGGGTTTAGGGTTTAGGGAGTTTGGGGTACATAATGTAGGGGCCCAAATTATAGCTCGAAGTCTTCACGATGCCCAGCCTTGCCCAGAACGATGCCATTCCCCGGAGCTCATACATGGAATAAGCAGCGCTGTTGGGCATATCGACATAGTTGGACATCCAAGCGCGGATAGACAGGCATACCTACACATGTGTACATATGTGATTAGTAATTACCCATGTATATACATACGTACATACATAGGTCAACATACATGCGC